GAAAACTCACAGATCACATTAATGCCCCACATGCACATCTCAACATTGTCATTGGGAGATGTTCCCAATATACGGTTGGGATGTGCTATGGAGTGCTGATGTCAACTTTAAAACTCATATAAAGCCATTATATAATACAAACCCACATTTGCTATGACAATGTCATAGTCCTAACACGCTGAAACAAGTAAATCAAAGACTTTGATTTGTTAACATGGCCCCACCTTGAATCAGATAAAGTGACTTTTTGGTGGGGCCAATAGATCTATATACACAACAGCGCTACGAGTCCTCTCACCATAGAGCTCATAAGTATCTCCCCCTTCTGTCTTTCCTCATACATGCATATTTATTTTTAAATTGAATCATTAAATAAATCAAAATTAAAATCTTCATAAATTTTCACTTTGTTTATTGATTTTGCTTTAGTTTGGGCACATTATGTTTGATATAATCACACCACATTTTACATCCCAATATCTCATTATGTACATGGAAATATGAATAAGACTGTTATTTAGGGCAGTGCTGCAAATGAATGATAGGTAGACCTTAAATTCAATTCATTGATATTAGAAATGGAGAAATATGTATACTGCAACCCACTGTAGAATTCTGAAATTACAGCTTCCTAAATCGCACCCTGCCCGTGGATTTGGCATCAATCCATGGTCAGGATTCATCCCACCTATATGATGGGGTTAAGAATTCTGAGGTGGGCTGAACAGTCATTCTTGAATAGCATCTTATCTATTGAATATTTAACATGCCACAATGATGCAGTGTTGCACGTGTGCACCCTGATATCAATTTAGCCAACCATCCAACAAAATATCAGTATAGAATCCGCTGATGTTTTAAGGCTATGTTTGGTTTGAAGGAAAAGTAGGGAAAACAAACTTTGTATAGATTTTGATATTTTTCCCTTCCTTTCCCTACCTTTTCCTTCAAACCAAACATAGCCTTAAGTTGCCTCTCCCTCAAGATCTATATACAATAGGTGAGTGGCACGTGTATGGGATCCATTAGATCAAGAAATTTGACAAAATTTTTGGAATGGTGGTATGGGCGTGTAGCCAAAGGGTGGTTGTTTTTATGTGAAGCCCGAGAAAGAATTAGGGTAATAGAATGTGATTTTTTCTTTTTGGTTCTAGACTATCAAAAGAAAGACTGAATATTGAAGAACACCCTAATTTCCGCATATTGTTGTAATAAACTTGTCACATATTGCATATTTAGGGGCTAGCTAGGAATATGCTCACATGGTAGGGATGCAAATAAATCGGATTGGATTCGAATTAGGGTATATCCAAATTTGATTCGATCTAAAGATTTGATCAGATCTTATAATTAGTGATTTGAATCTGAATATGTTCCAATCCAATTCGAATTATGAAAAAATTTAATAAATTATTAAAAGAAAAAACAACTGTTTGTATAAAGAAAAAAAATATTAGTGCTTTTTCAACTACTTTTTTTGTATATATTAATATATACACGTCTTTTTTATAAAAAAGTTACAAAAAATGCAATATAAATATATTAATATATACATGTCTTTTTATAAGTAAATATATTTATAAATATATACATATATATAGAGAGAGAGAGAGAGAGCAAATCGGATAAGGGGTGATCTGAATTCAATTCGATTTGAAAATCCAATAGAGAGTTATCCGAATCCGACAAAAATAGGATTGGATTCGAATTGGATTGAATCGAATCATGATCCCATCCATTTGTACCCCTACCCCAATGGAGATTTTTTTAGCTTTATCTGTAAAGATTATTAACCTACTCTGGTTGTAATTAAGTAAGATTTGTGATCTATTCATATGCATGTTCTCTTTCTTTCTTTCTTTCCTTCCTTCCTTCCTTCTTTTATGTATCTGCCATATCAATGGCATTTGTTCCTTTTCATCACATGGGATTGTTGGATAATTAGACCACCTTAGACATGTGGGCATGGGTAAGAACAGATTAGTCAATCTCTATAACCAGTGACGAAACAACGAAGGAGAGAGAGATTGGTAAGGTATTTTTATTCATACGGCATTATATTTGGAGCTTATTAGTGGTTGTGGGAATCGGGAATCGATTTTGCGTCGATGCTGGAAGAACCAATTAACATACATTTGAATTTTTCTCCAACAATTCAAATGCGAGTCTGGCTTCAATCAGGACAAAGCCTGTTCCAACAGCCTTTACAGCCTTGCATTGGGAATATCTCTGTAGTTATCTGATTTATTTCATAGGAGATATTCCTAATACAAGGTTGCAAGGAGCTGCTCGAAGGTGTGAGCACCGACTTGCACTGATAGAAGCCGGCACATTTTCCATTCCACTTAAAGTTGATATACTTTCGGAGGTCCTGGATCCCTAGAGGGAGACGCTTTGGCTTTGTGGCTTGATCATTTGAACCCTGAAAAAAGAGCCTGATCATCTTAGGTTGCATTTGGCATTCTTTTTTGTAATTAAAAACTCAGTATTCATAGACGCATTTTAACATGAAAAAGGAGATAAATCCTTCAAATAATTAAGAAATGTCGAATGCAGTCTTGAGTTTCTTTTTCATTTGGGTTTGTAGAAATTTCATGTTCTCATAAATTTGAAGCAGGAAAAACTGATAATTAATTCATATAATGGGGCTGAGCTTGTAAAATTAAAGCAACGTATCTTCCCATTGTTTATATCCATCTATCTATAGACTATGTCTATATGTCTACTTGTCTATATTCTATTTTCTATATTTATATGGAGATCGAATCAGCCCCCCACAACATCCCACAGCACATTCCTATCGTGTATTGGGAACATCTCCCGATGATGATATCATCATTTCTAATATATCATCGAGAGATATTCCCAATACACGGCAGGAATGTACTGTGGGACGTTGTGGGGGACAATCTTGTGGGGGGTTGATTTGAACTCTATTTATATGTCAGTAGGTCATATAATGATGATACTTGCCTTATTTTCAACCCCCATGTCTTAAACTAATTTATGTAAGCCAAGCTACATTAGGTAGTGAGTTCGACCTGAGGTTCTGAACCCCATTCAAGAGTAGAGGATGTAGAACAGATCATGTTCCAAGTTGTGACTATCAACCCTAACCCAATACAAAATCCCTTGACTCTAATCCAATCCAATCAAACCCAAAATTGACTTCAGGTTAGGTTAGGCTCGGGTTGAGTCCGATCTGACCTTTCACTTGTCGTTTTAAATTCTTTAAAAATCTCTCAATTGCAAATACATTATATTGAATAAAAAATTAGATTATATTGGCAAATTTAAGCTTTGACATCAATTTCATTCTGGCCAAGGTTCTTATTAAAGGTTTGGTCTAGGGTTGGCCCTTAATTCACTAAATCCATCTAATTTATACGCATGCTTTATTAGGTAGGATTAAATGGTTTCAAAGACATTTAGTAAGAAATAAGGGATTTAATTAAAATAATTTTATTAGGGAAAATAATAATAGATTTTAATAGAGAAAATTAGATAATCTTGACAATAACCCGTCAACCCCATTGGGTTTGGCTGGCCAAGTAAGATTGTTAATGGACCAAATTCGGATTGGACTCCGCCTGAACCTTAATTAATTGAATTAATATGAACGGTCCGAAGTTTACATTGGATTGCACTGATCCAAAATCTGATCGTTAGCGCCTTAGTGGATCGAAACGGATATTGTCCAAGTCCATTCGAGCGTCCACTTTTTATTTTTTGGGCTTTCATTTGTCCACTCAATAAAAGATATGTTGGGGAGTGACCTGTACTCTCCAATTTGACTTTAAATTTTCTTCAGCTCCATTGGTTAGTTATACCTGTAACGTATTGTGTCATCAATGGCACTGTGAGAGAGCCACATCACTTGGTCACTAGGCCTATCAATCATACCCCAAAATCCTAGGTCTGATATGATATCTGACCCGATTAATCAGAATCAGATTTGGGGGTTGTAATTTAAGTGTGCTTACTAGATAGGATTGGATTTGGATTTGACTCCATCCATTCTAATTGGGGGTTGCAAATGGATTGGCCCATGATTTGATCCGACCCAAAGTCCGATTATATTTTGTTGGATTCGGATACTCTCTTTTTGGATTTTCGGATTTGAATCACCCCTATCCCGATCCAAAAGGATCGACTTGATGTATGCATGTATGTATATTGCATATTTGTAATTTTTTATATAGTTTATTTTTTATAAAAGACATGTATATACATGATGAAATAGTTAAAAAATACTTGTATTTTCCCTTTATTTAAACTTTTATATTTTTCTTTTCTTTTTAATAATTAATAAAATTTTTAAAAAATTAAATCAGATCGGATTAGATTCGATTATCCAACATCCTTATTAGATTTGAATTCAAATCAATGTTTGTGAGATTCGATTAAATCTATAGTTTATCAGATCAGATTCAGATATACTCTGATTTGAATCCAATCTGATCCGTTAGTATCCATAGATCCAACTAAAATCCGAATATGATTATATTATAATATTTATTTATTTTAATATAAATTTTATGTAATTATATTTAAAATTATGAAAAATATATTTTTATTATATATATAATAAATTTAGTATGTATATTTACATTAATTTATTATGTATAAAAGTTGAAAAATAATTAAAATTTTATTTTTTGTATTATTAAAAATTAAAGCGATTGGATTAAATCCAAATCCAATGGAATTTGCTGCATCCGATCCGATTACAGCCCTTCATGATCTAAAGAAAAAAGAAAAAAGAAAAAACTTTGCTAGTTGTTTTAATTTTTTGTTTTTTTTTTGGGGGGGGGGGGTTATATAATAAGTTCATTTACATTTTAATTGGACCGGTTTGGATTCGGTTTGTCTGGATTTCGGGTTTCGGACTGAACTGGGTACGATCGATTTGTAAATGGACCCATAGGATTGGATCGGTTGGACCAAATCCTGTCCAATTGACAACCCCGGGGGCCAAGTTGCAGCCGAACCCGAGACACCCCGCGAGAGGGTTTTCGGCTGAGAGTAGCTTTGCTATTCTTTTGTTTAGTTAAAACTTCAAACTTTCTTCTGGTCGACAGCGCTCTACCATGGAAGACGACGATGAAATTCCACCACTTGCAGTTGAGGTTGATCGAATTTCTGAGCCAAACGCATCAGAATTCACTGGAAAACCCGAAAATCGAAGATCAGCCGATGAAGATTCGGTGGGCGTGACCGTTATCACAGGTTATCTTGGCGCCGGAAAATCAACTGTAAGTCCATCTCTGCAATAGTCTTTCTCGTTCCACCTTTACTATTAATCGTTTGCTTCGGATAAAGAAATGTTATCTCGAGTAGTCAACCAATGCATGACTGCAAGAAGCTGTGGGTGTGAATTCTTCTGTACTGTTGGTTGTTCTTATCTTGAGGAAGCAATCCGATTTTCATGTTGGCCACTGATTCAACTTGCACATCGATGTCGAACTGTCAGCTAGTTAATTTCATCTTGAATTCCCAACACGGCAAGAAGATTGCTGTTATCTTAAATGAGTTCGGTGAGGAGATTGGAGTGGAAAGGGCGATGATAAACGAGGGAGACGGTGGCACACTTGTCGAGGAATGGGTAGAGCTCGCAAATGGTTGCATTTGCTGCACTGTCAAGCATAGTCTGGTGCAAGCATTGGAGCAGCTCGTTCAGAGAAAGGAGAGGTGATAACTGTTTTCTCTTCCCGCTCCCCCATCAAGTACATAAACTGGTATTAGGTTGTTCTGAAGTTACATAAAATTTAACATGAATAGTGTGGAAATGAAAAAGAAAAGTACACCCAAGAAACCATCTCAGAGAGGGACAACTTCCCATATATTAAGTTGGTTTTCTATTGTAATTAAACTGTACTGCTGTGCTTGAGAAGTGCTTGACCGCTGACAAATTGTTAAATCAAGGGATAGTCATTGACAATGACTGATGTGTGCTATGCAAGGCAGAACCTAAATACGTAAACCATGTTCTCCTTCATTGCCCTTTTGCTCGGCTTGTATGGGCTGTGGCCATGGACATTTTCGATTGGCAGGGGTGCTTCTGAGCTTCTATTAAGCTCGTTCTTAGTTGGTGATTAGGAGTGTTGAGCAGTCAGGTTCAGGATGTGTGCCAATAAGCCTTGAGTCCTAAAAATGATTTGGCTGTACCATTCATTTGTGATAAAAGGACTACATGTTCTGTTTGTAAATCAAAAAGTTCCAGTCCCTATGACCTACCTGGTAAAAGAATGAAGATGGTACTTGCCACACATATTGTTCAAAATGGTCACGATTCTGCTCTAGCTAAGCAAAGAGTAAATAGGGGGACTTTATTTTGGGCTTTCTTGTAGACTGATTATGCTACTGGTCTCTTTAGCCATCCTTAGGGTGGTGACAGATGTGCTCTTTTAATCACTTTAATGAAAGTTACCATTTTTTTATAGATATAATGAAAGTTACCGTTTCCTATAAAAAATGGTCACTATTCTAGTGTTTCATGAAATATGAAAAGTGGATTGCATCAATGGTAGAGAAATGGCTGAAAAGGACAGCAACCCAACCAAAGAGTTAGAAGCTGGGATGATTGATTTATTGGAGCTCAAGGAAGCCTATTTTATTATTAATCATTATTTACAAAATCTGCTTGAGTCACAAGGTTGTTAGAACTACTTGTTAGGAAGTATTCCACCCTGGAGGTTTACTTTGCAGAATAATAAAAATGGAAGTACAAAATTACTTTCTTGTTGTTATTGTTATGAAGTAGCAAGTTACCGTTTCCTATAAAAATGGAAGTAGTAAGCCTGTAAATAACTTTTTTTTTTAATTCCTGAGCTTGTAAATAATAAAAAGAGAGTAATAACCCCTTTTGTTTTGAATCAGGAATTGAAAATTGCCTCTAGTTTTTTTGAAATTTGCTTTCAGTTTTGGTTGGACCACAAAATAAGTACTAGTTGCTACTTTCCAGCTGTAGAGGAAGTAGAAAATAGAGCATTTAGGAGTATCTTTTTATTTATTGTTGATGTTCTACTATAAATAGCTGTAGGTAGTTATATACAGGTATAGAGTGATTGTCCAAAAAATTATCTACTTATTACAATTGGCAAAGCTTTGTTATAAAGTAAAAAAAAAAGGTTCTCTCTTATGAAATTTGTAATTTTATAGTGTCAGTGGTTTTTGTGTTTGCATTTCAATTGCTTGTCTCATGTTTGCTTGGTCAACTAATGATATTTCAAGCAATGACTGAACTGCATTTGATTTTGCAAACTTTGTTTATGTGCTTCCATTACAACCATTAGTTTCTTTAACCAGTGATTGGGTATTTCTTGGCTGTGATGTAGAAGCTAGAGCTGCAAGGTTCTAGTTATACAGCTATTACATCTCATTTGGTGGATTGTTTAATTATATTTAGAATTTTTAATTCCAAATAAAAGATGATTAATTCTTACGTCAGAGTCCACTTTTCCTTTTATGAACATATTACTTTGGAGTCCACTTTCCAAATTGAATTCCCTGAACTGCAGCGTTTACCTAACATTCTTCACCAAAACAGTGACTATAATTATTATCTGTTACATCCCCAATTTAAAACATTTTTGTCAGAAAAAGTTAGCTTCAAAGGTACCACCTAGCTTAGGAAATTTTGTTGAGATTCAGACATGGGATGGAATCCCACCAACATTCTAACTACCGACCACTAATCATTTTCCCCATAAAAAGAGAAGGAGACGCCATTAAATTATGGATTCCGCCTGAATCAATGAGCACTTCGATTGGTTGTTGCATGATTAATACCAGTAATTTTCAGATCTATCAAGGTCTAGGAGCCGCCATCCCCAACTTCCCCTTCTTTCCATGAGGAGTAACTACTGCATTTTAACTTGTGATCTGACTTGAAATTTTCATGGCAACTGAACCAACAATTGTTTTCATGTCTCTCTGTTGTGTTATTTTGACCCTATAACAGGGAAGAGTTGATCAGGCCACCAATTGCTCTTGTCATGATAATGTCAATCCTATTTTGTTTATTGGCTCAGTCAAGTCTACTAGGAGGTCGGTCTCAACTCTGGGGGAAGTTCAAGCAACTCCAGGAGATTGCCATGGTAGCAGTGCTGTCGTTTTCTTCAACAACACAAGCAGAAGAAGGTCTCAATTTTTGCATTTGCAAAAATTCCATTGTCTGGTTTTACCCAAAGGATGTTGAAGAAGACCTTTTCCCTAAGAATTGGCCAACTGATCAATTATCTTACTATGAACTTGTCACACTTCTGTTCTGCTCTCTAACAAGTTCATTGTTGCAATCACCTCTTTTTATCTAATAGAAATGGACGATAACTTTTGCATTCTTAAAAAGATCTTTCACTTCAAGACCTATTCTGAGTTCCATATCAAAGGCATTTGTCTGAACTGCTTTGTAGCAGCTGTTTGGTTTATTGCCTTGGTCAATGTACCTCACCCCAAATGTGGAAAAGTGGTACCCATTATACATTTGAACTGCCTCCAATTGTTAATGGAATGCCACAGTCATGTGTTTTCATGAACTTTGAATGTGCTACTATAGGTTAATGTCATGGTTCCCAATTCTTGTCTAGTAAAGACCAAGAACCGTATGTACACATATCTATTGCAATGAGCAAACTTCTTGCATTTTCTGCAAAGCTTTTTAGATTCAATGAAAGATATACATGTAGTTGAATTTTTTGCATGATTATTTCCACAGCACTATGCTGCTTATTTTGATTTTTTTGTTGAAGTTAATTATTTTCTAATCTGTTGTTATTGTTGTCAATAGACTTGATCACATATTGCTGGAGACCACCGGATTGGCAAATCCTGCTCCTCTTGCTTCTGTTCTTTGGTTGGATGATCAGCTAGAAGCATCAGTCAAACTTGATTGTATTATTACAGTTAATTTCCTTTTACCATGAATTTTACTCTTGTTATTATATTTTCATGATTCAAAATATCCAAATCCTTTTAATTTCAAGTAAACTGCATTTATAATAAGATTACAAGTTTGTAATCTGCCAATGCTATCTTTATTGAATGATCATTGCAACTAGTGAGCTTCTTACCGAAGATTACCCATTTTATTTCTAGGGTTTATATATTATTCTTTAGGTTCTTCCGTAGTTGATATGCTATCTTCTATTTCTTTGTTGAGTATTGTGTTTTTCTTAGTTGTTAACTATATGGAAACTCAGTTGTGGTCTTATCACTTGCATAACACACTTTCATGGTTCTTTTTCTTGTTTTTTCCATGATATTGCCATCTTTTCTTTTCAATGCATTATAATTTATGGTTCATCTTTTCTTCCATTTCTATTTAACATGTTTTGTTTTTTAATGTCTGCTATTCAAATAGGTTGTGGATGCAAAAAACCTCCGGCATCAACTTTATGAGCATCACGATTCTTCTTCATTTCCCGAAGCATATCTTCAAATAGCATTTGCGGTAACTATCTCAAAATTTGTTCAGCATGGCTGAAATTATGTGTATGAATCCTTCTATCCTTAAGCCAACTGGCAGTCCATTTAAGCTGATTGTCAATTCTTTGCTTGTGAACTTTTTTCACCAAGTGTTTTTGTTGCCATATTGGACATGAACATTGGAGATTCTGACAAGTTCTATCTTTATAGGATGTGGTAATTCTTAATAAGGTTGATCTGGTCTCTTCTGAGGGCTCAGCACCAACAAATGCTGATGTTCTGCAGGAACTGGAAAAGGAGATTCATAACATTAATTCTCTTGCTACTATCATTCACTCTGTCCGTTGCCAAGTTGACTTGTCTAAGATACTTGACTGCCGAGCCTATGATGCCATGGTTAGTCAAAGATATTCTCGTCTATCACCCTTGGGTATCTTTTCTATGTCAGTCAGAATTTCCATTCAGTTAACAAAGTTCAGTATTCCCTTACCAGCACACTTCTCACTTGGAAGCTCTTTTGAAAGAAAGTCAATCTCTATCTACAAAAGATAGTCATGAGAGTAGCGTGCGAACCTTGTGCATTTATAATCAGGAAAAGGTTAACCTCCAGAAGGTGTGTATACTTTCATTCAAAGGCTACCATTTTGGTTGTGCTATTAGTGAACGTATGTTGATGCACTGGTGGATGGTTCTTTCTTCATCACTTAAGCACCAACACTCTCTGTTTGATTCAATCTTAATATTAAATTCATTCATAATGACGTTAATTCTAGAAAGGACATAAAGAAAAATACAGTAGAGGACCTTTTATCAGGAGTACCCAAACAACAGATATAAAAAGGGAGAAATAAATGCAAAACCACCATATAATAGTTTATATTCTGTTAAAATATATATATATAGTTTATATTCTGTTAAAAAGCAAAAAATAAAATAAAATTTATTTTCTGTTGGATAGATACATTATCTATCCAGTAGGTTTGAGCTTCAGTTCTATCACTCTACTTGCAGCTGCAGTTTTCTATACAAAAAAGTGCTCCCTCATCTTAACTTCGGTATCATTAGAAAGGTGATTCTATAATATGGATGTCAGTCCAATCTTTGATGGAAATCCTTCTTTCTGGTAACTTGAATATTCTCTGTGTGGTAACTAGTGTAGACTGCTTTCTAATTTTGTTGTTGGGTTTTAGAATTTTAGGTGTGTATATTTTTTGTTCATGTGCCCTTCATTATCTTATATATTTAGTCTCTTTGGAGTTTTAGGTACTCTCTAATTTTGTTCTAGAAGTCCTTGTGTTGTTAATCACTTTATATTTTGATTCCTTTGAATCTTAGTCCAATCTTAAATCTAATAGGAATGAACCAGCTTTTAGAAAGTAATTCTTGTGTTTGTCTTAAGGTCAACTGAAGTCTAAGTACCTTTTACTTTTATTAGCAATGAAAAGTTTATTATTGAACATTGAATTAGCCCACTTATATGGACTTACATTGTAATGTAACATATTTTGGCAAGATAAATCTTTTGAAGCTTTCTGTTTTAGTCATCTAGTCTGATGCTTAGCATGGTGACCTAAGTGGTCTGATCTTTTAGATGTCACTGCACTTGAATCCCTTATTTCAGTTATAGTTTCTTTGCCTATTCTCCTAGCTTTCTGTTATTTGAGAATTCCATACCCCCCCCCCCCCGGATTTTATGATACATGATCGTTAATTTTGCTGGTGGCCTTAATAGAGCCATTTAGTTTCTTTCTAAATCCTAGTCAATCAGTCTAATTTAGAGATTAGAAACTCTTATATGTTACTCTATTTCACCCCTTAACCACTTTATTTTGAAGCCCAGCAAGGAGAACTTCAAATTCAACTCAATTCAACTAAGTCTTGTCTGAACTCCCAACTATATGGGATCGGCTATGTGAGTCTTGTTCCACCATTGCACTCTGTTCATTGTCATATCCATTGTTAAATTATGGACCCTTAAATCATTTCTCACCACTTAAACTCATGCCCTTCTTGGTCTGCCCCTAGATTTTATAGCCCTTCAACTTGTAACAAATTACTTCTTCTCATGGATGCTATAGATGGCCTTCTCTACACATGTCACATGACCAAACTATCTTAGTCTGCTTCCCTCATTTTATCACTTATTGGATCTACTCCTAGGTGCTTTTGTATAAGTTAATTTCTGATCCTATTCTTTCGAGTTTTCCCACTCATCTACATATTTGTACTTCTGCTACACTCATTTTTTGGACAGTTGTTTCTTGATTGCCTGGCACTCTTCACTATGCAACATTGCCAGCCTTATGACCATCTTATCACATGGGACAAACTCCAAATTGGGGTAGGTCACTCTAGGCTTAAGTTGGGCCCACCAAAGTTGCACCCTTATTTCTTTTGTCATCAGAAAAAGAGAAAAAACTATTTTAAGAAGGCTAATCATTAATATGGACAACTCACCTTTTTTCCTATAGAATAACAAAGGTTGATGTGCTTGATTTAGATTCCCTTTTTTCCAGGTACATTCATGGCTTGAGGATATTCTTTGGGAGAAAAAACATAGCATGGATATCTATCGTTGCAAAGGGGTTCTAAGTGTCCAAAATTCAGATGAACTTCATACTATACAGGTCAGCTTTGTTCTTGACTAATATTTTTGTTTCACTTTTTCTGCTTCCTGTTATAAACATTCAACCAGTGGGCAAACGCTACAATTGTCTCTTCATTCTGAAATTCCTGGCTAAGAATGTAACTATTGTGTCCCCACCCCCCCATCCTCCATGTTGTGCTTGCTTTGATGTTAGCTGTAAGATGGTATTTTTGTATTTTCCAATATGCATGTATTTTGAGGTGTCAAATCACATTACGAGTATCTTTTTCCTACTCTACTTTGATTCTCCTTGTCTTCTTTCTTGTGATTTACTAAGCTAATTTGACATGGTATCAGATCAAAACAGACCATAAAAGTATTGTAAATGGAAAACCCAATGGCTAAGGGTAGCCCATGACTCAGAATAGAAACACACTTTATGACTCGGAATAAAAATACCCTACAATCTGAACTCAAATAATATGTCAATTGTAAACTCAATTACCCTAATAGATTAACCTTTATGTCTGAAAAGACCCAAGTATTAAACATGAACCATAAACCAACCCATATACCCTTTTCTCTTTTCATTTTTCCTTTCCTTTTTTATTTTTGGTGATGGTTGGTTGGGGGTATCTTACATACTAGACTACTTTCTTTTTTTTTTTTTTGATCAATAACAGTAACTTTTATTAACATAAATCAAAGAAGGATACAGTATAAGGGAGGGGTAAAAACACTTAACCCTCCCTAACAATAAGGATCATATTACAATACAGCCCAAAAAAGATTTGCTCTTCCCACCCCTTGTTTGGCCAAAAAATCTGCTAGAGAATTGGCACACCTTTTGGCCCACTGAACCTGAATTTGCATGTTTCAAGTAATCTGGTTGATTTGCTTCTTTTTTTTTTTCATTTGAGAACTTCCACATATTAGAATCTTCCTCCTGCAACCAGTTAACTGTCGGCCTTGAATCTCCTTCCACGAACAGATTTCTGATTTTCAACTGCTTGGCTCTTTTGATCCCTTCCAAAGCTACCAAAATTTAAGCTCTTAATGAATCCCCCCAACCTATAGGTGCTGAGAACATGACAATAATTCGACCTTCTTCATCCCGGAAAACTCCACCTATGCCTGAATGACCTGGATTTCCTTCACTGCTACCATCAAAGTTCAATTTAATGTATCCCAATTCTGGTGGAGTCCAAGCTGGACTGGGAGAAGAAGTCAAGGGAGCAGACCGAGCCACTTCTTCCCACTTTTGAATGATGTCTCCTACTGAGCAACCTTCAGATATCTTCATAGACTTGACCCAACGAACCACCCTAACATATATTAGCTCAATGATGGCTTCCCTGCTTTTTTCTTTCTCATTAAAAGTTCTTTGATTTCTTTCCTCCCACACACTCCAGCAAACAGCTGCTCTAGCACATCTCCACAGGAGTTTACCTCTCTTTTTTAAACCCCTCACTAATGTAGTACTAAATAGGCTCTGCACACTTGGAGGGGGGGGGGGTGATAACAGCTCTCACCATTCTTCTTACATAAAATACACCAGTGTGGGGATAAACACCAATTAGGCCTTTTCTTTTGAATTAGGTCACAAGTGTTACATTTTTCTAGGATAGCTTCCCAGCAAAAGGCACCTACTCTAGGAGGGATTGGTCTACCCCAAATTTCTGAGACTGGGAAGGGAGAACCAATGATCGGATTGGACTGTGTTAATTCTTTGAAGAAAGAAGAGCAAGAGAAAATACCCGACAGAACAAGAGACCACAATCTACTGTCCACTCTAGAGGGGTCATGAATACTAAAGATTATTTTAGCCCTAGATGAGATCCCTGTGTCCCAGCTGTCTGCCTCTTGCCCATGAATACTTAAGATTATTTTAGCCCACAAGTTCTCCCTTTCTTTATTCAATCTCCATAACCATTTACCCAAAAGAGCTTCATTCTTCTTCCTTAAGTTATCCACACCCAGACCACCATCACTTTTGGCTTTTGTAACCAAGTCCCACCTAACTCTATGGTCCCTTTTCTCCTCCCCTGGTTCCCATAAGAAATCCCTCATTAACTTCTCCAAAATCCTACATACTCTCTCAGGAATTCTAAACACAGACAGAAATTTTATTATGTTGCACAAAGTGGATAAGCTTATTATGTTGCACAAAGTGGATGACACAAATTTTATTATCTTAATGTTTAAAGCAGGCTGTGCGAGAGATATATGAGATTGTTCCAGCTCGTAGATGGCAGCAGGAAGAGAACCAAGTGAACAAGATTGTGTTCATAGGAAGATCTCAAGACTTGGACAACATTTCATTTTGATCTTTGAGCTTACATGGAGGTTCCGTTGAAAGACTGTATTCTGAATCTGTTTCAATGGTTGCAGGTCGGAATCTAGATGAGGACATTCTCAGGAATTCTTTCAGAGCTTGCGTTTAACCACTGGTAATTTCTTTGTTCACAAATTTATGTCTTTGTAGATATTTTCTGTCTTTACATTTTTTGGTTGCTTTGACTATAAGATTTGAGTTCAGGTCCTTCACTAGAGGAAACTTTGTATTTTATTTCCCTTTCTATTGTGCTTTAGAAAATTTATGCTACCAATGAGAAAAATAGTAAAATAAAATTTAGCTGAAGTCAGCAAGAACTTGACTAATTGTCCTTTTTCCTCCAAAATTAACTTAAATCTAACTGTTGCTTCATATCAGATTACTAGTATGACTTCAGCCATCACCATATTGGTAGCACATGGCATCCCAGCCCAAGTGTTATCTTGATGTGCTTTCGTGATATTAGTCATTGCAGGTCAGTCTCAAATTGCTAGCTCATGGCTTCTATGTTTGTAGCTTGGTGATAACATTCCAGTGTTAAGATACCAAAAAGTAACAATAAAGAATTATAACTGAGAGAGAGAGAGAGATGGATGCACCATTTTTTTTAAGAAAAGTAACAAAATCATTAGAGAAAAAGACATGTACAAAAAGAGCTAATGCAACCCAATCATTAAACCAAAAGACTAGAAATGATGAACAAATAATATTTGCTATACAAAAAGACCCCTTCCCACACCATTCCTACTTCCTAGCAAGACTATCAGCTTCTGAGTTAAGACCTCTAGGAATCCAATGCAGAATAGTTGGAAAGGAATTTAAAATGCTATAATCTCATTGAGATAATATGCCATCTTCTATGGCCTAGAACCCATCTTATTTGCCCACGTAATAGCATCAATGGAATCACCAACCATTGCTAGTACTAGAGGTTGAAGATGCTTTGCAATTCTTGAACCAGTAAGAATGTTCAAGTTCAAGTTTGAGTTCATCTTGAAAAACTAATATATTATTCGAGCCAGGCTTGCGAGCTTTCAAGCAAACTTTTTATTGGTTCAAACTCAATTAGAATTGAGCCTAATCAATTCAAACTCGAGCCTGAACTGTTCAACTAAAGCTCAATTCAATTGCACCCCTTCATGGAAGTATAGGAGCCCTTGGTGGAGTAGGGTGAAGAGTTTAGAGTTGAATGAAGAATCTCTATTAGATATATTTGAAGGTTGTTGAGGGAAATGCTTTTAAACTTCTTGGTGGTCAATGCTTAAGAACTGATTAGAAAAGAATGTGGCTTCTTAAAGCTTCAAAGGAGGCACTGCCACCTTCAAGTACCTGATTATTTCCCTCTTCTGAGGCCCTCCACATGAGATCATGTATAGTTTCCTTCTGATAAGCTTTCGTTTGGTGCCTAAATCAACATGTATCCACTGTTGCAATAGGCTGACTACTTGTCACCTGATTGTTTCCCTCTTCCCAGGCCACACCAATTAAGGCCTGAACAGAAATGCCACAACCTACTTGTTACCTGGCAGTTGATGAATGAATATAGAGCTGGTTTCACCTCCTTTATACACATAATACAAACTTGAGGAAAGATAAGGAGAGATGAGAGACATCCATCTCTTTAATGAATTAATCAAAAGTGTGGATCTTTCCTTTTGCACAAGTGCCCTTGTTTATAGATGGGATTTGCAAACACATTGAACAAATGAGAACTTTCAAGTAGTAAATCATGATTTAACATAATTTCAGGAATTGCTTTAAGTAGTGAATTCAAGAATTACTATTAAATAGTAAAACAATTTATTCTAGGTTAACTACTTTTGCAGCTGGAAGAAAGACAATCAACTCCAAGAAATTTGCTAAATCTACTCAGGAAAAAAAAAAAAACAAGAAAATCCAAATACCAAATGTACCTCTGGATTTTCTTACCTAGAATATTGATCATATGAAGGTGATCTTTCAGTCACATGGTACTTTAGAGCTTGCCCAGTGGCAGCTAGGGTTGTGGACCCACAAGTCCAGATTCTCCCAGAACAGGCATTCTCCCCATATTCTAGATAAGCATTGCATGCATGTAAGGATATGGTTTTCCCATTATTTCATTTCTTCCCTGCCCTTGTTGCATTCTTTTACAAAGTGGTTACATTTTCTCAGTATGGATCTAATTGTGGTTGAATTTTAGGTTGGAATGATGCTGCTTGGAGGAAGGTTGAAACTGATCTTGGAATGGTTTATCAGAATTATCACATAACTTTTGTTTAAAAGAATCCACAAAACAGAATCAACTTTTTTTTTTGTAGAATGACTTGTATAGTTTGTTTTCCTATGGCTCATGTTGGGACAATGATTTCCATGAATTTTTGGCCACCCTTTGTTGGATGCTAGCCTGAAGGCTGGGCTGATGAACTACATTACACTGATACTGGTCCAGAGGTCCCAGAAAATGGAACTAAAGGTTTTTACAGTATGTATAACAATATTCAAATACAATATCAGTACATTACTGTGCAGAAATGGGTTATATTGTGTTAATGACTTTTTTTTGGTGAGGGAGCAATGGGAATTGGCAACCATATATAGAAACTGAAGAAACAGTTGGAATCAGGCATGTATTGACTGTTATTTCATTGTTCAAAAGAATATATGCGGTACAGATCAGTGGTTCATAAACAATATACCCGTATCCGTGACACAAGGATGACTTGTATTCAGGACATGGCTTGATTCCATTCTAGCATTTCTTTCCACTTTTTGATGTCCCAAGAATCACTACTATCAGTTGCTATAGCCTTTCTCTTCCTTTTGCCATGAATACACGGGGTTGTTTCAAAATTAGGTCCAACTAACTTCATGTAGCCCCAAAAAGCAACCAAACTGAACATTGAATTACTAATTGGGCTCAACTTTGGCCTTCAACAAGAGTTTCTATTAACATTGCATCTTCATGGGTGTTTTAACCTTCACAAGGCCTTTTTCTTTCTATTTTTTTTCCCTCTAGGCTCTAGGTTGTTGAGTAGAAGAGCACCATGCATGCAAAGATGCTTAGTTATTGGACTTATTTCATATTGAGGGAAAGGAAAATTATAGAGCTTGGACAATTGATTCCCAAGATCCTTTAACCAACTCTCTCCAGTTATTTTGAAGTGCAAAAACCATCCACAGTATTATATTCTTAAATTTAAGTAATAGGGATGAAGTATTGAAGTGCCAAGCATAAAAGAACCCTACATGTATAAAACTCTCTAATGCTTCTTTTTTGGACCTTGGTTTTAGGTATGTATGGGTTCTTCATTTGTTGGTTGTGCTCCGAACAGAACAAGCACAAAAAACCAGGTGAATCATTTAGAGCACTGTGGGGTGTTTTGAGATTGACCCAATATTGCATCATTTATTTTTCACCTTAAAATAGTGATATTATTGATAAATCCCCATGATAGAGAAGTTAGATCATTAGCAACTTGAGTGAATGTATCATTCGGGGTTTCCGCTCATTTGTGATTGTTAGTGGGATATCTATTGGGCCTTTTGCTGAGTTAAAGCATAGGTCAATTTTGTATCCCTCTTCTTTCCCCTATTGGTAAATCTCACCTGACCTTGCTGTCCATAAAATAAGGCTTTTACATCGGGATCTCTCTTATCATGTCTTCCTTTCTCACCTGATCTTGCCGTAGAATGTTATTCCCCGGTGCTCTGAACAAAATCTTTCAGATTTTTAAAAGACCCAGATTCTTTAACACTCTTCATAGCCATGTCCTTGAGTTTCAGACCCCCTCTAATCTCTGAGTCGCTTGGAAATTTGCATAACTTTTTTCCCTATTTTTTTAATTATTTTATCAATACATCATTTTTTTTTCTTTAATATCTTCCTTGGGAAAATTCCATTTTCATCCGAGTTCTTCAGACCCAAGCTCGCCTTCTGAATATTACATGTAGCTGTCGTTAAGGCAACTCGATTTTCTACCCCCACTTACCACTTGATATTGCAGCCACAGATGGGGAATATGTACTGCACTTTTATGTTATTATTTTGCATGGGAGAAGTTCCCAATGCATGGCTGTAGTGTTTTGTGGGTAGAATTCTTGTGGATAAGAGATCTGGAGTCTCGTTAAAGAACTGGCCAGCACAGGGCCCATCCCTATCCAAAAGGGACTGAATTGAAGGGCTGATTGCTTTGTATATTGGTGGACAAAATGAGCATAATCAACCTAACATGCCATTCAGCTAATAAGGAATCCAACCTACTTAATGACTTGCTTGATTCAACCACTTTGGTCATTATCAAATGTCCTCATTGAGCACTTGGGGACAGATTAACTTCCGGCACTGTGCAATGTTCCACTTCATTGATCCTTTTAAAAACAGTTCCTCCAGCTTCTCAAGCATCATTCAGAAAATCGTATGGGATAACTTCTCCAGGTCATTCTGATCTTTCTACCGGCGCCAACCCATCTGGGATAGACACCATCTACATCTGTCCTCCATTATTTTTCTTCTCTAAGTGCAGGCACAATGCGCAGCAGTAGAAAAGGAGTTCTGATCCGCTGGCCACATCCACATGGACTCGTAGAAAAGCTCCATTTGGGGGTATGACATGGCCTTTGTGGGGAATGGCATGGCTAGCACGTGGCTTGCCCATGCGACCATGTTTATTCTTCCTTCTCTGTAATGCTTAGCTTCATGCACATTCTTCACCTGCACTGCAGTCTAGATTTGTTGGATGAAGCCAATGCTTGATAGTTTGTCTTAATGGGATTCATTATTTGGTGGAATCTCTCAATGTTCTTGTTCAGTTGAGGCCAATCTCTTTGTCATCGTTTTCTTTTAATTTCACCAGCTCTTTATATAGTTTATTATTGCCTTGTGTATGCTGGTAGGACAGGCTTGGAATATAAATCGTCCCCAGCCAATCTCATCCTGGTTCATTGTATTGGTTTTGTTGTTCGAACTGATCCACAAACTTTAATATCAATGGGTTTCATCGGGTAAATTATAGATAGGTACCCTATATTTGGGGGTAGTGACAGATAGGTGAATTTACATTTGCATCCCCACAATGCTCCACAGCACATCCCCACCTTGTATTGGGAACATCTTCCAATAACAAGTACTGGAGATGATGAGACATCACTGGGAGATGTTCCCAATACAAGGTGGGGATGTGCTGTGGGGCATTGTGGGACACCCCCTTGTGGGGCACCCCCTTGTGAGGCACACATGAACTCCAGATAGGTACCCTGAGCTTTGAATTGCAACACTTGAGTACCCTGAACTTTCAAAAATAGACACTTGGGTCCATCTATTAGTATTCCGTCAGTTAAACATTACATAATGCCAAAAATACCCCTCTCATGTATTTGTGAGATCATTTTCCAGTAACCGAATGTCTCCCCATGATGGCATTCTCACACGGACAGCAAATAATAGATTCAAAATTTTCAAAGATGGCATTCTTTGGTGATGATTTTACTCCATAGAATGATCTCAAAAATTCATGAGAAGGGCATTTTTTAGATTATGTAATGTTTAACTGACAGAGTACTAATGGATGGACCCAAATGTCTATTTTTGAGAGTTCACGGTACTCAAGTGTTGCAATTAAAAATTCAGGGTACCTAACTGCCGCTACCCCCAAAGTACAGGGTACAGTACCTATCTATAATTTACCCTTTTTATTTGAGGGTTTCACTTAATGTCTTGTTTCTACCATACAATTGGTACAGATCATAGTTTATCCAACCAACTAGTAGATCTAGCGGCTTGCCAACTGATCATTGAGTAATGAGTATAGTCGCCCATGGTGGGTGCAGCTCTGAAGAAGAGAGGTCTCTCAGTATCTGGTACACTGTTTGTTTCTCGGTCAGCAAAAGTTCCAGGTCAGGGCTTTCTGTCTAACATACTAAGCAGTTAGCAGTAACGATGCCAAACTTGCTGCGTGAAGTCTGTCCATGATCGTAGTCTTTACAAGTTTGTGATGCCATCCTACTCCAATAAAGGTTTTGCATCCAAAAAGAGAGATTGGATGGTAGATGTTTAAGAGAGACACTCTTCTTGAATTAATTGAAAGAAAGTATTAGGAGTTGGCACACGTAATTTAGAAAAGCCTATTAATGCTTCCAAACAGACTTAAGTTGGTTGCTACTTTCAAAACATGATTTAGGAGGTATCAGGTATCTTCCAAAAATGCAAGTGCATGCTAAGACCAAATTCTTCATACCTTGTGCTTCCTTGCAAAGTTTAGCTTCCATGCTCAAAATTGACCTCTCAAAAAGCTAAATAAAACAGATGAATGTTCATAAGGTATATACATATCAACAGATTGGGTAATTCAATTACCCAACAATCCAACATGGTATGTACACTTTTACTTCTGTCAACGTTCAAAATGTACAATTTGTTGTTGATCCAAAGAAGCTGGTTATAGACTCAATATACTACTTAGAAGAATGTGGTCGTTGTTGACACTGATACAATTTGCTCAAAACACCACTGATCCAAGGAAATTTTAACCTTGTTTGGTAGGTCGAGTAGGTCCTAAGTAGTTTGTCACCAGCCCCATAATAGCAAACCTAGCAGAGCTCAATATTTACAAACAAAAATCAGCATGGACCTTAACAAGTAATAAGCACCAACCAACCAATAAAAGTATGTTGCATAATGCAATTGGTATGGTGTTGAACATTTAACCTTAGAAGATATAATGCTTACAAAAGAAAATTTTGAGATTCAAAAACTTTTTCAAGGGAACTTGCATGTGTGACAAGAGAATAATTTGAATATTGCCATTAACAAAATGAAACTGTTACTCTGCATGACAATAGGAAAATTTTGTTAAAAATGGAGAATTTTGAGGTTGCATACAAGCAGGGACACACATGTCTAGATTTTCCATGTGAAGCAAGAGTGCAATTACATCATTGGTGTCATTTGCAACTGAAATTTAAGTTGGCACCTAATACAAGATGTAGAACTTTGGTGAATTCTACTTTGTTTTCTCTGATAAACTATAAACCTAAAAAAGTGAGCCATATAACATTTCACACATGCAGTCAGTACTCAGTTGCACCCCAAGTTTAATGGATCTCACCTATGAACCGTTGTATGCCATATGTAAGCATTTAAACTATTACTTATTTATTTATTTATCAGCAACACAAAATCGATTCATTGGATTAAAAAAATAGAGATACAACAAAGAGTTGTGGGCACAAAAACAAAGCCCACCCAGAAACTATTAACTATTTACAGAATTGCCCAGAACATTGATTGTCTTTGAGTTCCTTGCTTTGCCAGACCATCAGCCAAACTGTTTGCAGACCTCCTAATCCATCTTATTTGGATCATCATATCTTTAG